CCAACCCAGACCACAGTGAGTACAAACTCCCTTCCTCTGTATTATGTGGAATACAAAGTGATGCACATTGTTCTACAGAAGTGAGGGCAGAAAAGCAAGACACTCCAGGAATCATTTGCCCCATGGTAAGACTTGTTTCTTCCTTATTTGGGTGATCTTTCTGTGCCAGCTTAACCTGACAAAAACATCTTCAGAACAAGACAATGCAAGACACCCAGCAGTGCCAGAATTACAAAATGTGAGGAGAAGCGACTCCTACCTGTAATGTGGCAAATGTTTAGAGAATCTCATTTTTCATATTCATAATTTCTCTCTGATTTTTTTAATCCCTTTCTCCACAGAATAAGCCATAAGATAAAAAAAATAGAATGAAGAATGATATTAAATACTACAGATTTTAGAGCCATTGCATTACTCTTTCAGTAACACCAGAACCTCATGAGAAAGTTCACAAATACCATTTCAGACAGCAGGGAATGAGTCACCTTACATAGGACCTTACTATCCTATTTAGGGAATTCGTAACATAGCTAAAATTGTAGAAAGTGGTACTAGCTATCACTATCAGGAACAAATGCTCTATAGGCAAGTCATCCCTTAATCTCCTCGTAACACTGCTAATATTTCATTACTCTGCCTAAAGGTCGGTGCTGCATCAGTGGGGTTAAGGAACATTTTCCCATTGATTTAAGCCAAAATATACCCTGACTGCCACTTTTAGGTGCTTAAAAACTCTTAATTTTCCAGATGTGCAACATCATTTACTTCAACAGCATGGCCAGCTAGCTTTTAGGTAGATTTAGAAGCCTAATTCCTGAGCTGACCACAGTTTTTGATAATATTTAGATATCTGGCACTTTTTGAACGAAAACATTCCTTGGCCATCATTATTTTTCTTCTTTCTGTAAACGAATATTTATTTAATAATTAATTCTCAGTGCACAATGGAAAGATAAATTCTGTTGCAGTCTGGATATCTGAGAAACTCCAGGTTTATAACTGCCTCTTCCATTTCTTATCTAGCTCAGTCATCTTACCAGAAGGTGCAGTTGTCCCAGAAACAACAACACAAAGTCTGGTATGAAACCTACTCATCCAGCTGTGACTGGAAAGTGCTGGTATCCATATGAAGAGCTCACATGGTGTGTCCTTATGTGTTGTCTCACTTTATCTTCAAATATAAGGAAGCTACTGCATGTGCAGTTACTGTTTTACGAGATCAATAGCCTTTTCTTTGATGGTGGTACTATCAGCACTTTCAGCAATCACTGTTACAGAGTGAAGTAATTTATGCACTCTTTCATATGAAACCTTTCTCAAACTAATTTCCAAATTTGAATCATTTCTTAACAAAAAAAAAAAAATGGTGAAGCAATTAGATTCTTGGGATCCTCCAGCAATCAGTAATGCAGGAGAAAAGGAAATAATAATGAAATTACTTTAGAAAAAGCAAATACATCTGCAAGTTGCCTCTTTTCCGCCAAGGACTACACCCAATGCAACCTGGAGTTCATCCTGTATCCACTCATTTAAACAACTGAAGAACAATGAAACATTTTGGACATTCCTGCGATTGCCTTCTGTCCTTCAGTTCTGGCAGCTGCTTGACAACTCTGTACTTGGCCTCCAAAGTAAACCAATTTCTGAAGAAAACACTGCAGACCTCTACAGCCAGCCTCTTTGGCTGCAAAGTGATTAATTTCAAGCGTATTGAAACCAAAGCCAGCGTGCTGATAACATGAAACAAACAGAGGGAGCAGTGCGTTGAGCAGCTCGGAACGAACTGTTCCTGCCTCGCGAGCCAGGCTGACACTCTTACCACGCGTTAGGCTTTCAGCGAGTAGTCCAAGGGATGAGAAATGAGCATCCTCGGCAAGTTTGAAAGGCTAGAGAGATCTTTCTCATTTTCCATCTCCTCATCTGTTAGATTGTGGAGACATCCTTTGATAAACATCCGTTACGGCTCTTCATGTTGCTCAAGTCTGGAATTGATCTCTCTAGGTGGAAAGTCAGGGGCTTCCCTTACTGAGATATCCCTAAAAATTCCTTCTTTTATTCTATTGATAAAAGAGAAATATCATGTATAATAATACACACTAATAAGACAGGAAGGCTGAGCTGAAGAGGCCTCTTTTGAACCCTAGTTAAGATACCCTTAGGTTATCTCAACCAGATGTTATTCAACTCACCACAGGAATTACTGGCTTAAATACGCTGGCCTACGTTAGGCAAGAGTTCAACCGCATGATTAAAACAGTCTCTTCTAGCTTTAAAATCCATATATCTATGCAGCTATTGAACTTGCTACCTCTTCTGTTCTGGAACTCATGTGACAATATGAGTTTATAACAGGTTTTCAGAAAAAGGTTTGCAAGGAAAAGCTTAAAAGCATGAGACAGAACAAAAGATTCCCTTTGCATTTAATATTTTCAAGCCATTATTACAGTCTGGAGCAATCTGTCTTAGGATTTATGAGTTGTACAAAATGCTAGTCTACTTACCTGCCACGTAAGTTTTTATCTCATGCTCCTCCCGTAGTTTCTGGGCATGCCCAGTTGTTGCCAAGGAAAACTTAATTAATCTTGACTTAAGTCAAGGTAAACAATTTAAAGCATTTACAAACAGTCTCTGAGACTCAAAATGAAAGCAAACAAGCTTCACTAATGGAATACATGATTTCATTCCGCTAGTCTTTGCAGAGGTTTCTTCTGTCTGGTTGAACGTCTGTAACAATTCTCCAAAAAGAATGCAATAAATATTACTGGTTGCTAGAGGGTTTGATTTCACATTTCATTTGATTTTTCCTGACAGTATTCAATACGGTCCTATGAATGCTTTTTTTTTTTTTTTTTTAAGGTGTCACTTCCTTGTTCACTTAAACACACACACTGTGTTCACAGCATGTTATACATAACATTAGACATGCAAGGGGCTAGTATACCTACGATCCCTCTAAATGGTTGAATTGCTCTTGGATAAGTATTTCTGGTAGGAGACCGAGATGATGCATGACTGCAACCAGCTTCCAGCACACACCTATGTTTACTTAACTTTGCAACAAAGTCTGTGCTGGAGGTTGCTAAATAAGGTGCTATCCTCTAAAAGCTGGTTAAACTTGTTATTCTCCTTAGAAAAACAATTGAAATGAAGTTCTTAAATACAAGTGCTGAATAAATTTTTAGAACATACTTAAGATACTCTAAGTGGGTGGCTTACGGTTTGTTGAACTATTCACACATCCAACGCTCCCACAATCTGAAAACTTTTCCAAGAGATACAAGCCAGAGGGGCCCGACTGAGCAAGAAGTGTCAGATCACTCAGTGGGCCTGCCTGCATTGCAGTCAAGACCCAGACATGACCACTGTCAGTACCAAACGTGAAAGAGGGACCTAGGGAAGGAGCTCATGGCTGAGAAGATTGATGAGCTGTGGTGAGTGCCAAAGATCAGTAATGCAAGAGACAAGCTATTAACAGCAACCTTAGAAGCCCGTTCTCCGAGGACTTTGCCAAGGTTTGGTGAAGCTGCTGGGACGCTGGATGGCTCACAGCTTCTTGTTTCCTATCTAGATACCAAGAGTAACCTGGCTGTGCTTGTTCCTGAATCTCAAAAATTGCAAAATACAGTGATCATTGCATTAAATACCCAGTACAGGGCCATGATTCTTGGAACAGAATAGGGCTTTTAAAGCCATTTAAAGGAAAATGTTATCTGCTGTTCTGCCTTGGGTCTCAGTATCCTGAAAGCAAAAGGTTATAGGAACGGCACCCCAAGTAAAATGTGAAACGAGTTGTTGCCTTACACTGGACAGCACAATTCTGGGTGGCAAGAAAAACTGGTGACATCAAAGGTCAATGCTCAGAAAATTGTATCTGAGATAACATTTGTCCTCTTTTGACAAACTGTGGGAAGGAAAAAGATACTGAGTTTAGGGTAGAGTTCTTTTCCTTTCAGATAAAAATCCAAGTTTTTTTTTATTCCCCACAACACAAATCCAGTATAACTTAGCCATACTCAGTGGAGTTCTGTGTTTCTTTTTTTATTCAAGTAAATATACAAGTTTATAAAGGTCACTCAAAACTGAGCAAAAGTGAAATATTAGGTGGTCTTCATTGCTGCTAGGTCTCAGCTTAAGACTTTTTGCTTTATTTTTTATGCTCATTCACCTGTTCGGTTACTTCACAGTCATGATCCACTTTCCTTTATTGCTTCATTTTTCTTTAATTTCAGGCATTTGTTATTCATATCGCTTCCTCATATTTCACTGATGTTCTGAAATATTAATGTTACCATATTAATTTTTTTAATTAAAATATCTGTAGAAATCAAGGAATTTTTTAAAAAGCTAGAAAAATATGCTCCTAGTTGGTTATATATCCTGGCTGTTTACCTATGCTCCACTTCTGAACTCTGTTATTTATTCATTTTGGTAACTGAAAAGTCTCTGTATCAATACGGCTCTGACAAGTGGAATCTGTTTTTTTTTTTTTTTTTTAATAAGCTTATAAATACTTAAAAAATTTAAAGGCAAAAGATGTCTAGGAAAAGGTAAGATGAAAAAAGAATATAAAATGCCCTGTTTATGTGCCATTGCCCTCTTCTGGATGATATACGAGACCTGCCACTGCTTCTGTGTATCTTTTACTTCACAATAACTGCATGCAGGCCATAAAAACACATTTTAAAACATTTAAAAAATATCCAAGCTTAGCTGAAGAAAAGGGTTCTCTTTCGGGAGGGGTAGAACATATGTACCTATTTCCAACAGGAGCTGCAAATATAAAATGTCACAGTAACTGGCACTTGCTCAAAAACAGTCCACACATTTATTACAGCCTCTGAAAGCGAAATCCTTTCCCCCTTCCTTGCTTGCTCTGAGTAGCGAATGCCAGCACAGTGGTGTCAGTGGGTGATGTGCAGAGAGCAAAACCCCGCTCGGCAGAATAACTAGCCTGTGCTGAGATTTGTGCTCCATGGCTGCTTTTGCATCCAGAATGAGAGGTGGCTTGGTTGAAGCTATGAGCTGCCCCAGGAGCATACACTGAAAACACATCCTGTGACACCAGGCATGTCTCATTTACTGTTAGCAGCAAAGCTTCGTAATTCAGTCTCAGTTTACTCATTGCAAACAGGGGATTTCTAATGCAAGGAAGCTGTTTGCTTGGAAGAGGGTTCAAGCGATCAGTATTTCACAGCAAGCATCAAACGTCTACGAGATTACAGCATTAAAGCGGTGAGGTTTAGGATTCCTGAAATCTGAAGCTTTAAAATTGAAAGGTAAGGCATGATTTACTTATGGTGGGGAGTGGGGAAGGCATGAGAATGGGATAGCAGTTTACCTTCCAAGCTCCCCACACATCACCCCTGACTTTAACGCCTGTCCTCCCTGCTCCTCGGTGCATAGTTCTCTCCCTCTGTCCCCAAGGAAAACAAGACAGAAGCTCCTATAAACTTTCCACCTGGCAAATCCCCTGAAACAATCTGCTGTCGTTTGTCATCCTCCTCCTCCTGCAAAACAAACCCTCCATCCATGTGTCCCACAGTACAACAGAACAGATTATAAAGATGCCAAGAAAGGTTCCTTTCTGCCTTTTTTTTTTCCCTATTCCCTAGAGCTTCTGCTAAAAACACAGCAAGCGGTTTGAATAAAGCATGCTACCTTTTCTTTTCTACATCAAAAGGCTGACCAAAAAACGGCTTGTGTGTGCGTTGCATCCCTCTAGCAATGCCTTTACTGAGACAGGCTGCCGCGGGGACGTTTTTGGAAGGAATGGCGCTCTCCTGCATTGCCGGGCGGCTGGCCTGAACAGCATGTGCCTGCGTAAAGATAAACTGGGCTTCTTTGACTCACTGCAAGCCAACACCTGCCATACAAGCAAACTAGACCTATCAGTGATCACAAAATATGAAGGATGGATTTCTAAGTGTGTTACAGTTGAGCCTTTGCCGGTGGGTGTCACTAAAAATTAGCTGTAAAGGTTTACAAAAAAAAAGGGACAACAGAACCTGAATATTAAAAAAGTATTGTAGGACTTATTTTTGGCCCCAAGCCTTGTTTTGAATCTTTCCTTTGGTCAAACAATGGCAATGAGATCAGAGCCAGGCATCTAGTGCCCTCTAATTACTGTCTGGACTAACGTTTGCAGTGAATTGCTGGTAGGAGGTCTGGATAGGATGGGAAGTGATTTCACTGAGGTATCCAGTGCGGAGTCCCTGGTGGTGGTGGCATGTTTCTTTATGGGCTTCCTACATGGTTCTCCCTCACGCAGTGGGAGAAAGCCAGCCAGGTGACTCACTGAGCTTCTGCCCCCTGTTTACTGCAGCAACCAGCTCCACAGGGACTTGCTCGCTATGTGATGCTTGACTTTCCCAAGAACATCTCAAAGGGCTAATTTTAAATTAACAAAAGATTTGGAAGGCAGGGAAAGGGGGAGGGGGAGGGGAATTTCTTGCAGGAGGAAAGAGATGGCAGAAATAAATTCCTTCCTTTTTCCTTTCCCTCGTCCAAGATAAGGAAACATCACACGCTAAATGCGATTTAAAAACAACTTGAAAGGCAGATAAATTTAGTCACAAGTATTCCACTGGGTGGATAATCGAGATGCAGAACAATTCTTCAGTCACAAGGTTTTCAGAAAAAAACTACCAAGTGGTCATGGCACAGGGGCAAAAAATCAAGGAAATATTGTTAATAGTAGATACTGCCATAGGACCAGGTCATAAACCCTTTTGAGGAGAGACTATTCAGTAGTTAAAACGCTCGACTTGAATTTCTGTGTTCCACCCAAGTCTCCCGATCCAATCTAGACTGCCTCTGTGACTTTGACAAAACAACTGCAACTTTCTGGGCCTCAGTCCTTCACTCATAAGATAATGATATCAACATCGACATGGCTAGGACCAACCTATGAAAGGCTGTGAGCTTTGTTGATGTCACCGTTATAGAAGAGAAACGAGACAGGATTGTAATGAAGTCCCCTCCTTTTACGTACCTTGTCAACTGGCTTTTTGCTACTCTTCTTGGCTGTTTTCCCAGTGCTCTTTGGGTTGCATGTGGTTCGAGGCAACTAACAGAGTTTGACAGGTCAGGGAAGATATCCTACCCATTACTGTGGTGAACATGTATCAACCACAGGTCAGCACTAGCTTGGGAATGTCTGTATAATGCTCCACTGCATTGAGTAAACATGACTTTAATCCCTCTGTACCATCTGGAAAATAATAATATTTCTTTTCTTTTTCCTTTTGATTTTCTTCTCTGTTGAGTTTTCGAGTTTTAAAAGGCAAGCCCTTTCTCTCATTACACAAGAATACATCAATATAAGTAAGAAAAATAGGTCGAGACCTTGTCCGTGGCCCTGAAGGCAAGTGGTATGATTCATCGCATGTCCAAATGGCTAAACTTTCTTCCATGAGAAGAAAGCATGGCCTCACCCCTATCGTCTCTGTCCTATGTCTTGAACCATCTCTCATCATTATCTAGAAAAGAGAAAAATTATATAAACTATTCCAGGGAGCGTGATAACAGTTTAACATTACAGAAGATTGCAGGACCAGCCTCTGGTCTTCTTTAATTTAATAGCATAGTCCCAGTTTAAGTGTGCAATGCCCAAGACAACGGGCCACAAGATTAATTGGGGCTTGCAAGTATTATCACAAAAAAAAAGAACAGTGTGATTGAGGGATGTTTTTCTGATTCCCTTTTTGATTTTGTATCTATTCTTTATCTTCTATCTTCAAATTATTAGCCGTAAACATATCTGTGAAGGGAAGTACTGCCTCGAAGGCACCATGTAGTCTCCACACAATCATTCCACCAGCAAACACCCTTGCACGCACCCAGCCATTCCCTGCTGGTTTTCCAGCTTTAGAAAATCAGTACAAGGTGTTACACCAGCGCTTGAAAAGAAAATGCCTTTAGTGCACATGATTCTCTTGACAGAGCAGTAGAAGTGTGCACTGTTTGGATTGGCTATAGTGCAGCATGCACTTTAGCGTCTTTGAAACGTGCAGCTGTGACAGCAACATCCCTCAGCTAACCCTTCCTGAGTGCAGTGAGAAAGAACTGCTGGTGCCACAAGGCAAAAAAGTTTTCCAAAGATAGATTCTAATTTTTTGATTTTTTTTTAAATAAGAAATTGTGCATCTGCAGCTAGTCATGTTTGTTCCTTTCACAATCTCCAAGAACAATATTTGTTGAGGTATTTTTAATGAACTGAACAACCTCTGAAAGGCTCAAGAGAAAGAGATTGTCAGAGACAAATCACTTTCCTTGATTATGGTTCACAAGATTCTTAATTGAAAAGAGCCCAGAAAAGCTCGATCCTCCTCCCACTTAAATCAGTTGGACTTTTTCTCTGATGTGGGAGCTGGTCCAGAACATATTAATTAGAAACGTGTTTTGATAAAATGCTGTTATGTACTATGAGGTTTATATCCAGAAAAGGAGATTAAGCTACAGAAGAGACATAGTTAGAGGTAACTTCCAAAAAGACATAATGACAGGAGAGGTCAAGCTGGCAGTTTTTAAAATGGATGACCCAGCAAGGAATAAAAAGGGACATCCACACAACCTCACCTTCACCCCTCATGGGGGCTCGGACCCATCTGACCTCTGGGACAAAGTGCCGTAACCCCACCTACATTCTCAATGGCTTTGCCAATAGATAAAGGCATTTATTTATAACAAAGTATTTCATATGCCTTGGCAGAAAAGCACATAGTTGAGGATCAGTTGGGAAAGTGCTTTCTCAGAGGCAGTCTGGCTGAAGACTTGCCTACAGGACTGTTTACTAGAGCTCTTTTGAGCTGCGTGTGTGACTTACAATCTGTTCTGCTTTTGCTATTTTGTTTTCTTTAATTATTTTTTCTAAACTGCACAAAACAGCACCCTTCCCTCAACCAGATGAATTTTCGAAATTCTTAATACAGTCATTCATAAGCAAATTCTTGCCATTATCCACAGGTAACATGATCCTGTTAGCAGCAAATCTAATAAACTCCCCCGTTAGAAACCATAAGAAAAAACCTTCTCAGCTTCTAGGTGCAGCATGCTTTCTGTGTCAACATATTTCCCTTTTTCATTCTCTTCCTCTATCTGGAATCCAAATATTTCAGAGCACAATATTTGACTCACTTTAGCCTAGAATTGAACCTTTGCCAAAGGCTTATTCAAAAGGTGTAGATTTGGTCTAAGAGGAAAGTGTATCTTTGCTTCTTCTCTATTTTTTTGATGATAAACTGCTTTTGAACAAATGAAAACCCACTTAGGTTTTCACATGTACCTTTTCTGAAGATTGAAAAATTGATGAACTCTTTTAAATAATGTCCTTTTACATGTTTTCTTTCTTTGATACAACTGAGATTTGGCTAGGACAGAAAGTCAATCTGCCAGAATTCTGCGGAAGGCGTAGGATTCATGGTATTTCAGGCAAGTCGACACAATTAAGCAAGCTTTCTTCTATCTTGACTTCATAGAACATGTCCATTACCTTGGAAGTGAATTCCAGAAAGTTTTGTTTTGTTTTGCTCTTAAGTTGTGCAAGTTCCAGGCTGATTCCCAGAACATTAAGTGTCAAACCTGCATAAGAAACTCTGAACAATTTTCTGAGCTGATCCTCCAAGTTCTTAACAAGACTTACCTGTTAAGCACAGACAGATGTTCCTTGCACTAAGAGCTCTGTTTAGCTTCAGGCCACCCTGTAAGACCTTCTGTCACAGCAAAATCAACATTGTCAACAGTATCTCCGACAGAAAAAGAGCGTACAAAGTAGAAGAGTTAAAGGCTTCAGCAACTATGGTAGAACTAGTTAGGCAAATGAAAAGTAATCTAAAAACTCCTCAGGTTTCAGCAGTGCTCGTGTATGCTGAATGTAAAAAAACCGCAGAGGCCTACATAAAAAGATGAACCGTTACTCCATCCTCATTGGCATTTGATTGTAAATTCTAACTCAGCCTTGTCAGAATTATAATATCCCCAAAGAAATTTGAATCTTCAGCTAGCTGACAGAAGTCTTAAAGGTTTTAACTCTGAATTCCATCACTTTGGTGTACTGCCAGGATTTTTGGAAAGAAAAAAAATAAAAAGAAAAATCAAGCATGCTCATGTAGGTGTTAACAGATGCAAATAATTTCAATAAGACTAAACTGTGCCCTGGTAGTATGTGCACCTTAGTATCTCATCCATGTTTTGCTCTAATTTGTGCATTAAAACCAAATGAGCAGTTACCATAGAAAAGAAAGGCGAGAAATATTTTAATGTCGTTTCCAAAGTGCTG